AGTACTGTGACCCCCCTGGCAACGCGCGCGGTGGCAGCCCTGTTGTACAGTGTTAACACTGCGGTTTCTCGTTGCGTTTTGTTTGGGGGTTTAACTCGGTGGTGCAGCGCGACTGGCCCTACAGCCCGTACTCTAGGACATACGTGATTAGGCAAAAGACTCGCTTTCAAAGGGACGGCAGAAAGTCCAGCAATGGAACCGATGAGACTTGCGATGTAAAGGTGACTCTCCCTGCATGTTCTGAGAAGGGAGACGATGGAGTTGTCTATTCCAAACAAATTAACACACTGCCTGATGTTGATTGTATGAATTTGTGGTTAATGTGAATTTTAAACTCTAACAAATCTACAACTGGATTCGGGGGGGGAGGGAGGGGATAGAATGATGCTTAAATTGTTGTACCCAACTTGGTCAATAAAGCAGCACAAGTTCATAATCCTAATCACTGGTCAGTAAACAGTAATTAAAATGTATGCCAAAAGAACTCTTTGAAGAAACGCACAGTATAAAAGTACGCTTTATGAAGCTTACCAACAGCTGTTAGGGTTGCAGAATCAGTTCTAGTCACGTTTGGTTGCTTTGGACTATTACCAAATTAACTCCTTGGGCTTCAGTTTTCCGTAATGGTACTCTGCCCTCAAGGAGGCAGCCTGATCCAGAGTTTTGGCAGTTCGACAAGGGAGAGAAGGTAGAAAACTTTTCCTTCTTTTTTTTCCTCTTTTTTTTTTTTTAATTTAAGAAGTATTAGTACTTTAGCTACGTGCACTTTGAATTGGAAAGGGCATTGTACACCTCTTGCCAGATTTGTCTGAGTTACGAGCAGATTGCCAGGGTTTATGGACTCAGTAGTTCAGGTGCTTCTTTCAGAAAAGACTTGTTGAGGTCTCTTTGTATTACATCTACTGACCAGAGCTTCGCCTGGGGCAGGAACAAAATACAGTTTGTACGCAGTAAGGCTGCGCTCAGGCCTAAAGTGAATAATGACCTTCGCAACGGCAGTAGGAACGTGGAGGTGAAGAATTACTAGTACCTCTTCTTCCACAAAGTAGGGTGACTTGTGTGTATTCTGTCAACTGTTATATGGAACAAGGTGTCTGTCTTTGCCCTAAGGGGACGAGGTTCAACGTCTCATGTTGTGTACAGCAGAGAAATGGTATTTGGTTCTCCACCACACACTTCCGAGAAATAAAGCCCCTTATTAGTCTGTCAAAGCGCTCTAGAAATGCCTCAGTTAATCTTCATTTTCATGGACGTAGTTGTCTTTAATTAAAAACTTTTTTCCCTTTGGCTTCTCGCCTTCAGTCTCTGACTAAATGTTTGAAGATCTCCTTGCCTCATTTGCTGAACTACTTGGAAGGTGTGTATAAAAACCAAAAGTGAATACGATGGTACAGCAATGAAAAGGTCTACGCTGGGAGAACTGGGTGTTGTATCTGTCTTAGCTGAAGTCTGGCTTTTTGATGTACGACTTAAAGTAATTAACCGGGGATGTGGGAGCAGCTCCTAATCAGACTTTTGTTTAAATACCTGGTTTGATAGAGCTAAAGCATCAGAGATGTTGATCGTTCTGTTTAGTCTGCGGTGTCCGTGTAAGCACTGGTTTCATAGCTGTACAGTACCAAATCCGGGAACATACCATCTCTTGTACTTGCTGTTTTGTTCTTTTTTTGCTCTCTATTCCCCATGTATAATGTAAAGATCCATGTTATCCCACAGCAGCAAGGAGCAGATGAGCTCAATCCCATTGAAGACTCCATTTGAAAAATAACCATTTAGGCAAGTTCTGGATTTGATGCCTTAAAAGACGTGGTACTGTGTGTGGATTTAACCTGGGGTCTTCAGGAAGACTTACAAAAAAAAAAAAAAAAAAGAAAACAATTAAGGTCTGTAATGCCCTAATTATGACACTTCCTGATTTTAAGGTTTCTGTTTTAGTTTCATTCCTTGTTGTTTAGAATGATATATGAATCTAAAGCTAGTGCAGCGATGTGCTTCTGTTAAATTTGTAAATTTGAATTGGTTTGAGTGTCCTTTGCATGCAGGAATAGACAAGTAGTGATACATTAAAAAGAACAACTAGGAAACACTCTTCTTGGAACCTGGTTATTTATGCAGCACTTCAGCTGTCCTAAAGGTGAATAGTCTGTGACTCCTGCTGATGGAAGACGTGATCTGTTGGGCTGTTGGATTTCCTTTTGCTGTAGAACTGTTTTCCTAGAAGTAACCTTGCTGAAAAGTGCTTCTGACTTCCCTGTCACGCGAGGGAGGAGCGTTTTGAAACAGGTGCCCGAGAACTTGTAGCCAGCTCCCACCAGAACGATTTCTTGGCGGTCTTCTAAGTAGTAGTTTTTAAATAGTTCGGACTGGAGGAGCAGGAAGGTGAAGTTCCTACGCCTTGGAAAATTCAAAATCACCTCTTAGAGTGCAAAAACTGAAGTCTTGATCAACTGCTCCAGTCTCTAGCTCTCCCAGACAAAACGTAGTTGTGATGAAAATTCCCCCATTTGGACAGGTTAAATAAACCTTGCTGCTCTGCAAGTGTCTGAAAGAGCGGTAGTATTTACTGACCATACCTTTAGGCGGCAGAGCAGCAGACGGGGCAGTGCAATGCTGTAGCTTCTGCAGGGAAAGTTCGTTGCAGCCAAGCGAGCTTCAAGAACAGCCCTGAATCCGGGCTGTAAGCAACGGGAGTATGCTCCTGAAATGACAGGCAAAGCTATGGCTCCAAACCAACAGACAGTTTGCAGTACAAGGGGGAGCTACAGCTCAGGTAGTGGCGCAAAGCATGTGATGAAGAGCTTGGTGGTAAATTTTTGAAATTCCACAGTTCCAAACTACAAGGATGTAATTGCAATTCGATTTTTTTTTTTTTTTTTTTAAAAAAACAACTGCAAGCTATCGCCTGGTGTTAGTGTCTCTCCAGAACTGTAACGTGCTAGATGTGAAAATGCAAACTGGAACTGCAGTTAATAGTCATTATTGTATTTCCCAGAAATAGATAGGCCGAAGCCCACATACCAGAATGGTTATCGGCTTGATTAAAATTGCTTTCCCGCAGAGGCAGCTACAGAATTGCTTTTTCCTGTTGCGATCAGTGACTTGTTCCGTGTGCTAACGCACCCTGTACGTAGTCCCGTTCCTCGAGCCCGCGCTCCGACGGTGCTGCCTGTTTCAGAACCGGGGCGGTGGCTCGGAGGCGGTGAGCAGCTTTCGGAAGGGCCCACCCGTGCGACGGCGGGGGCAGCCGCGCTCCGCAGGGCGCACCAGAGCGCCGTCGCCCTGAGGCCCGCTGTTGGTGAGCTGTGGCGCGGGGCTCAAAGTTTGCTGACAGCAGATGGCTGCTGCAAGGCCCAGCGGCAGAGGCTCCGACGGACGGAGGCAGACAAAACCGGCGGCGTTAACTGTTACTCTCACAAAAAGTGACTGGAAATGAAAGTGTGATTAACCCACCAGCCACTGGAGAAGCCCGGTCTCCTGGTGTTCCCCACGATGCCATTAGCACTGGATTTTCACTCTTGGTGTCCGATACTAACCAAAGGGGAAAAGTTCAGTGATTTGCTTCTAGGTCAGTTAGGGAGAAGTGTAAAAATTAATTAAAGTCAGATTGTACTACCTTGCACTCCCCCAGAAACGGAGTATTTGACATGATCGAAGTATTTAATATTCAAAGGTGCCGTCTTCCATCATAAGAGAGGGACTTCCCCTTTATCTAGGTGTTGTCTTGCCCAGTGTCCCGCTAGGCTGGCAGTGTCAGGGTAGTTCAAGTGACAACTGGGAACATAAAGCATCCCAGCGTAACTGCGTACGTGCTGTATTCTCAGGGTAGGACACGTCAACTGGCGTTGATAGAAAGCAACTGGAAGGCATGGGAAGCTTTCGTCGTGCCTCAAGCTGCAGTAACTCGTTTACCTGCCCCCATTTTTTAAGTTTACAGGTTGTTTTCTCAAGTAAGACCTGCCTGCGCTCTGAAGTTACTGTTTGTTTGAGATCAGTGATGGATTGCGAGGTGGTGAGCAGAGCGGCACTGGCTGGTGCGAGCACGGCTTTATGTTCCGCGCACAGTTGAGTTGGGAATTTCGCTGGAGTGCACGAGCGTGACGGTATCCTACATATTGCTCTCGAGATTTAGTATTCTCTGCTGCAGGAGGCACCTGGCAGCTGTGTAAGAAGTGACATACCTGCCTCCAGACTAACGGCTTGGAGTACCCGAAGCGAAACAGACCGCATCACCCCTCTTAACAGACTCCGCGATTGCTATGAACATAACAGCGTCAGCGCGGCAGCCCCCGGCTGCGTTTTCTCTGCCTTCCATCAGGCGGCACAAGGCTGTTACTGCTCCAACATGTTGCGAGTCAGGTCATGGTTTGTACAAATCGCTTTTTAAAAGTCGAGCTCGTTTTAACCGAAGTGGGTGTGGGAATACTAGACAGCTATGCCGAGCAGTTCTGAGGAATCTTAACCTTTCAATCTGATGCGGCTGCAGCCACAACTCTGTGCTTGCGTCCGTCCGACTTTTTGACCTGTCTTTGTGGAGTCCAGAGCTGACTCCAACCCAAGAGGTGCAGCAGACCCAGGGGTAGCTGTCAAGCTTCTGGCAAGGTGCCGTAAGCGGTCTTGGAAGGGGATTTGCCAAGAATTCCACCCATCCAAAATGGGTAGGAGTTACCGCACAGAGCAGTAGCAGAAATCCCATACTTCTGAATAGAATTTGCCTGTGCATGAAGAATACAGACCTTCCAGACGCAATTCAGACCAATAAAGTAGATTTACAAAGTTTTATTTAAAAAAGGCTTTCTAAAATACAAAAGGAGACGCCCAAGGCCTCTTCCTTCATTTCCTTCAGACGTCCTTTCGAGCGTTTTATGATGGGTGATGTGCAGTAGTTGTCTGTGATGTTCAACTAGACTGCATCCCTCCCGCTGCCCCCGAGGAGCCGAACGAAGCACAGCAGCCGCGCACCAGCGCGCGTTCTTCGCCACTCGGCGGGACTAGCGTACCTACTAGGACTTCCAGGTATACGCGTAATCCTTCATTTCCAGAAAGCGGATGGAAGATTTTCCCAATGTTGGACGCTGACTCAGTTGATCCAAAGTCTTAGGATGCAGTCCACACGTAGGAAGATCTTTGCATATGGTTTCCTGCAGAAATTCACGTGAAGAATAGGAGAGACACCGAATGGGTATTTCTGTTTGAAATACCTGTAGTTTTTAGTGTTCACTTGCCTACCCCCGGGGAACTCCTGAAAAGCCGATTTTCCGATTATTCCATTTCTGAGGGAACAACAGGCCCCAGGGGGCTGCCGGGTGGCGATCGTGAGTCATTGGGTGTAAACCCACGTATTAAGGGAAAGTTTTGTGTCACTCGGTGTCCTACAGTTTGTAATAAAGATACTATTCCTAACGGGAAAGATTGCCTCTGCTAGTTTCCTTACCTTGTTTAAGGCAGGGCTTGCGTTGTCAAGGTGAGCGTTAAACACGGCCGTTGGCTCGTGTGTGTATAACACGGCAGAGAAGGCTCCCCTCTGCGCGGACTTGAGCAGCGTGGTCAGCGAATGCAGGGAATGGGGCATGACGGGCCCCGCGATCTCCAAACTGAATATGTCCTCGTAGGCCGACTGAACCCTGGCCTTGGCATTTGTACTTCGAGCCTGAAGACAAGAGCACACAGGATTAGTTTTTGACACGCCAAACCAAGTCCTGGTTTTCATTTACTTCAAAACTGCAGTGCCACACTCCTATTAAAAGTTCAAAATACTTTTGAGTATTATGATGGTTTTACTATCTAAAATACTGTCTACAACTCCTAAAATGTACTAACTGTGGAATATATAGGAATATAAATAAACACAGGAATGCTGTACTGTATTAAGAAAGTTAACTGCAGAAGAACAGTGCTGAACTGCTCCGGTGGAAGAGGGCGGCACTACCTGTCCTAACAGCATATCCGTTAGTATCCGCCGCCTCCGTGCGGTAACAGACGGTGAGCCGTGGTTCAGAGGCTCCCCCCCTGCAAGCAGCTGCGGTAGTCTGAGACCCTGTCAGATCTCGGGAATCTCTTTAAGAACCGTTTTAGCATCTGGGAAGTCTGCTTAACCTCTTCTGCATCAGGATGTGAAGAATGGAAACGGGATTTCCGTTTGGCAGCACAGATCTACGTGGGTAGGGGCGATTTAGGAGGCAGTCTGTATTGCTAACTCAGGCTACAGCAACAAAAATTACTCTGCTGTACCTGAGGGAGACTACACAAAGTCCACGTCCCATCTACCGGGTGAAGAAACAACTTTCTTTTCTGTATTGGAAAACAGCGACGGTTGCGTTGTTACTTACTTTGAGCGTTTGCATTGTTCCACCTCGGAAAGCAACAGGGGACAACAAAGTTGGTGGAAGCCCTGCTTGTGGACCTGCAACAGCCACAAGGCTCTTACAGCTTATCAAGAAGTTCAGCAAGGTGAAGGTGTTCGTTCCTTTCACTAACGCAAGGGATTCGGGTTTGTGATCCATCTGCACCTCATGCTTCTCCTTACGACTGTATTGACCGGAGTCAAAGGAAAACCCCGAGGAAGCAGAAAGCATCAATGCACCAAAGGAAGAATCGGGGCGGCGCAACTCCAGAAGAACCCCCTCCCCCCCGCCTCTGACCAATCAAGTCATTTAAACAAACAAAACCAAAAAGACCACCAAGCTTTAGACTGATTCAGATTTGTTCGTCAAATATTAAGCAGCATCTTAAACCTGACTTCTGATGTCATTATTAAAGTTGTGAGAGAAAACGCATTTTCCAGGTCCAATGTCTAACAGCTGGCAAGTCATGTTTACTGAATACCTATGAAGTTAGCAACTCCTAGTTTTACTACGAATTTTGCTTCAAAGCAAACCTAAAAACATGAGCGTTTGGAGGTCAGTCAGGAGTCTGCTTTTGAAGCGCGTCCCCTGGCTGTCCCCACGTACCGTGCGTTGCTGCGGGGCAGTCTCAAGAAGCTGAGATGAGATTCCTCTTGGGCGAAAGCCAGCAGAGGCTGCACGGGGCAGCACAAGCGCAAATGGAACCAGAGGAAGACCGAGTTAATCGCTCCCTCTGAAACACGTACGGGTTCCCAGCAGCGGCTCTTCTGGTCTACAGCTGCGTCCCTACTACGCCACACCACTTCCCAGTGTAAAATTGGCCAACACAAACAGACACCCTTTGCTTTAAAAAAAAATTAAAAAATCTAACGAGTCTTGCCAGTGAACCTATATGCGAGGTGACGCATCAGTTTGTGACCTAACAGATGGATCTTACAAAGTTGCATTAATGATTCACAATGGCTTTTCCTTCAAGAAGAGGAGCGCCTAGAAACACCTGTCATAAAGAGAGTCAAAAAGACATGCAGAGTCTCTTAATATGAAGTAATGTGAGGATTAATACTTGGAAATAAGCTCTCAAAAGCTTTTATAAAACTTAAACCTAGTCCACAAAAAGATAGTATCTGCAGGGTTTTCCAGTGTCATGATGCTCAAGGAAAGGATACAGTTTAATAGAAATAGCATCCGGTTTCTTAACCTTGTCCTGGACTCCCATCTCCTCAAGCCAAGAGAAACTTTCATCATCATCGTCATCATCATCACTTGGAGCTGGTTCCCTGGGAAACACAGAATCGGTGTTAGGATGGCGATGCTTCCTACCAAGGTTTTCCAAATGGCATGTGCAGGAGTCCGCAGATGGCCTTGAAATCTAGCACTGTAGCAGACTTATTACGTACTCTCCGTCTTCCATGCTGTTGCCCACTTCGTGGCTGTTAACAACTTCTGTTTCCAAATTCACTTCAGAGTTTTTCTGTTTCCTGGTTCTACTTTCTTCCACCAAAGGTAAAGAAAACTCTATGCCTTGAACAGAGGAGGAAAGAAAGCAATGAACGGTTTTGTAACACAGCTAACGCACTTTATCAGTTATTCAAATCCCAGTCGGACTGGTCTCGCCTTACCTTCATTTCTCATGGCTTCCCTTAAACCCCTAGTTGTGGGAGAAATTACAGCTGTGATAACGTCGCTTCCCGCAAGACCAGCCGCACGGAACAGGACGGTAAACTGGTAGGTACATATATAGAAGTAGGGACACAGTTTGGCTTTCAGCAGATTGTAGAGAGAAGTAAAGCTGACAGACCTGCAAATTGGAATAAAACAATTCTGTAACTGCAGTGAATTCTTGGCGACTGACACATCAAACTGGATTTCGCTGGGTGTTACTGACGTATGCGTACTCTGCACAGGTTTGAGAGCGCACGGAATGATCCGTCAGATTTTCAGACGTGCTCCTCCTCTAGGAAGCTGCACTCCTCTGAAACGCAGCCTGTCTGCGAGCGCTGTGCTCTCCCAGCATACTTGCTTTCTAGCACGTGGAGTTTACACGAAGCAGCAAAGGCAACTTAACGAACGGGATTTACAGAATTCTACCCAAAACAATAACTAGGATTGGAAAGGGGCATTTAACACAAGAAGGTAGCTTTAGTCTTGAACTTACTTCCCTAGCCTGGTCCTCAAAATAACAAGCATTCTATAGGTGGGAAAAAAAATAAATCAAAAAGCTTTTTCATAAAAATGGAAAGAACTTGTGCATTAATTAAAATGCCGTTGTCTTAATCACACTAAATACATCAATTGTTTGGTTCCACTTACCAGTCGCTCATTAGCACTTGTTGCAAGGCTTCATCCTGTGACCAAGGACTGGCCTTTCCCACTATTTTTCTGTCTGCTCCAATCCGAGGGAAGAGCTGCAGCCATGGCAGTGAAGGGTGAAGCCAGTAAACGAGGCTTTGCTGAAAGGCACAACGCAGTTCTGTGGAGAGTTTTGGTTCCTAGATTTCAAAAAGTATTTCATGAGGACAGTAATACTTTACGTAAGGCAGCGTTGCAAGTGACGGATTAAAAAAATATTACGCTAGATACTAAAAAAAATTCCCAGGCTTGTGAATAAGCTGGACTGAAGAAAGACGGACAGCCACTGGCAACTAACTGCTCCATAGCTGAAGTTAAAACAACCACTCACTTATCACTGTTTCCCCCAGAGGGTACAAGCCATGGATGGAGTTAGTAGACTAATTGAGCCTTATTCTCAATGCAAGTAAGATCAAAACAAGACACGATCAAACCTTCACTGCCAGCATGTTTAAGGAAAGGTGCAAAGGCACATTCTGCTTTCTAAAGCCGGAGCTTCGAGCTACCCTCTGAAGTATTACCTGTACGCTCTGTGGCAGGTTTGTTTCTGTAGCTCTACAATGCTGAGCAAATCCTTGAGCTTCCTCTTGTGCTTTTAAATGTTCTGCCCAGGTGAAAGGTTGGGAAGACATAAATAAAAGTCGTGTTTTAATACTCCAGTCTGCAGGAAATTCATGTCTTGGTGAGGAGGGAACTTCGGGTGCAGCAACAGGTAAATGAAGGTCCTTACAAAAGAGAAATAGCACCAGTTAACCCACGGAAAATTAAAAAAACAAACCAAACCAAAAACATAACTATGTAGCTTCCTATTTATATTTTAGCATGGTTAGGTCTGCTCTCTTGTTGATTTAATATACCTTTCCTGGCAGGCAGACCAGACACTGGACTAGCCAGGACTATGGCTGGTTTATGTAACGTCTTGAGTTTAGTAGCAGTTGTTTTAATATCCCTTCCCGGGCGGGCAGCCCAGACACTGGACTAGCCAGGACTATGGCTGTTACATGTAACGTCTTGAGTTTAGTAGCCTCTAAAAAGACAAGTTAAACCTGTCGTGTCCTGCATGGTTTTGTCCAATTCAGTGCAACAGCAAAAAAAACCTATCTCATTTTAATCCTAAGGAAGTACTCGCATTAAGAGACATACTTAAAAAAATTTTTTGCAGACAGATTTTCTGTATTCCAAGTTGCACACAGTTTAACTGTCATAGGCTAACCAAAGTCACAGTCTATAGGCAACTGATCATTTTAGTCAGTAACAGATTCTAATAGAAATATGGCATATTGTTTATACAAAAGCAAAAGAGGGTTTTCATTTACAGGGGTCTTTCTGAAAGTCATAAACTAGGAACAGATAAAAGGATGAATAATTCAAAAGAAGAAAACTTAGCCTGAAGTTTAGGACAACAAGACTTTCCATGCCAAAAGTTATTTCATTTCATCCTGTCTTGGTGATTGTAATGTCAGATGCTTCCTCGAGGATGCAAAAAAACCCCACTGGGGAGCTCTAGGACAGAGTGTTCTTTTTGAGAGGTCATTTTTCTGTTCTGCTAAGTTAGTTTGAACTTAAGTTTCTGAACCTGTAACAACGTTAGACGTTGTCTGCTTGTCACTCTCTTTCAAGGACTGGTTTTCAGGTATTCTCTCTTTCCTTGTCCCTGGTGAAGCTGTTCCCTTTCTGTAGCTGAATAAAAGACTGCAGGAGACCTATCACTTTGAAGAACATCCTCATCTCAATAAAATATAGAACTAAGAAACAGAATTATATTACACGTGGTAATAAAACCGGAAGAAGACAACAACCTCTGTCAACTAGAACTGCAACAGTAGCGATGTCAGGCAGAAGGCTGGCGCTTAAAAGACTGTCACCTAACAGTAAACGTCAAGGCAATTTAAGAAATTTTCTTCAATGCTGATGTTTTAGTACATCGTTTTATACAGAGATGGACCATCAAATACTAAGTTAAACAGTTTCAGGTTTTTTTGTGAACCGAGAACAGCAAAAAAAACATTTCAGAAGCGGCTCGTGCTGTTTCATACATCGGTTAGGGAGAGGCGGTCGGTTCTTTCAGAGGGCTCTGCTCTCCTGGTGGGCTTATCTTCACAAACAGGCTCTAAAAGCTGAAGAAAAAAGGAGCGTTAAGACGCAGCACAAAATAAAAACCGGGTTGATGATAATTAAAAAAAACGCCCCTTGCAGTGAAATTTCCGAGTGATACGAAGCACATAGGTGCTGCAAGAGGCGAAGTGCAACAGCTCGGTTTCAGCCTACGCACCAAGCCAGGGCAAGCCCCAGGCCGGGGCTGGCTTTTCCAGGGGGAGCGGGCCCCGGGCCGGGGCTGCTGCGCCGGGCGGAGGGCGGCGGCCGCCGGCGGAGGCCCCTTCCCCGTTCTCCCCA